AGAAAAAAAAAGTTCGGCAAAAGGCGGGATCGAACCCGGGTCAATCGAGTCAAAAAGCCAAGGACACGTGCTTATCCATCTGCACCACTGGAGCTGATGAGTCACATACACTTTTAACTAAACATAAATAGACACCCTGTATTTTTTATTCCATAGTAAGGGCAATTCATACAATACATTTAAACTGAGCTACTTTAATACCATCTGACTTGCATTTGTAATTTGTTATTTTGTTTTCAGAATTGTGATTTGTTTAGAACTTCTTGGCCACCGTAATTACACCCTTACCCTGACTGCTTTTAAGTGTTACCACATTTTAAACAGTGATGACATTGTGTTCTAACAGGATCCATGAAAGTAACGAGGAAAACGAGAGTGATGAGAAGATGGTGTCAGAGCTGCGGTCTGAGCTGTGGGAGAAAGAGATGAAACTGACGGACATCCGGCTAGAAGCGCTGAGCTCAGCACATCAGCTGGAGCATCTACGAGAAGCCATGAACAACATGCATGTTAGTGACCGTTTAGTAACGTTTTGGCATTTTATGCCCTTAAATGTAATAAATTTTTCAATTTTTAATAAATTTAATTCTCAAAGTCTTTTGCAGGTTAATATCTTTTCTTCTCAGCCTGTTTTTTTGTGACCCTGCTGCCCCACTGAGCATTCCTTGTCCAATGCTCATGTCTTAATTTAGCTATTTCTATAGTATTGCATCCTTCACATGGGCATTTAATTACATTTTTGACTTTTCAGTGTGTTAAATCTCTTTTTTGGCCCATTTTACTTGTAGAAGAAAACCTGCTTAATAATTATAAATCTGAAAATAAGGTGTTTTTCATTTCCAGCCCTTGTTAACAATTATATATCACTTATAAATGGTTGTATACTAAAGAATATCTAATAATTATGAATCAGAATCAGAATGAGCTTTATTGCCAGGTATGTTTACACATACGAGGAATTTGTTTTAGTGACAGAAGCTCCACAGTGCAACAGAATGACAGTTACAAGACAGGACATAGATAATAAAAAGAATAATATACAAATATACAAAATAGACAATTTACAAAATAGCAAAAACACAATATATAATACAGACAATTATGTATGTACAGGTATGATATGTGCAAATTTGAAATGTAAAAAAGTATGTGTGTTAAATAAATAAATGTATAATAGTGTTGTGTGTTCCACGTTTAATGTCAAGTGTTTATGAGATGGATTGCCTGAGGGAAGAAACTGTTCCTGTGTCTGGTCGTTCTGGTGCTCAGTGCTCTGTATCGTCGACCAGATGGCAACAGTTCAAAGAGGGAGTGTGCTGGATGTGAGGGGTCCAGAGTGATTTTGGCAGCCTTTTTGCTCGCTCTGGATGAGTACAGTTCTTGGAGAGTAGGGAGGGTTGAACCAGTGATTCGCTCAGCAGTCCGGACTATCCTCTATAGTCTTCTGAGGTCAGATTTGGTAGCGGAGCTGAACCGGACAGTTATAGAAGTGCAGAGGACAGATTCAAT